TCCGCACATCGAGTGTAGACAGAGCAGTGCTGTCCTTGCCGACCGCAAGTGGGCTGGAGGAGTGTGCGCAGCAGTCCGCATCAGCCAAGACACTGCCGACTGATACCGTCGATGAGCAGAGAAGACCGAGACGCAGACGTGCAACCAACTATGCGCGACCAACCTCGAGTGAGGGCCGCACAGCGACAGCGATCGTGCCTGGATCCCCTGCGCCGATTCAGACACTACCGGAGCCACCACTTTCGTCGTCCAAAGCCAACAACAGATCGTACGACCGAGTTACTGCTGCCACGCATACCCCCAACAGTGCTGTGACCAGCATCACCGAACGCCCTTTGACCCAGCCGGCATCCCGAGGACCCCCCAAACCCAGGCCAGCCCCCCGACCGGCCGTTGCAGGGAATGCCTCTCAAGACAGCAATTCTTCCTAGCTGTCAATATGCCGGATTCCAGGGAACCCTTGGCGCAAGCCCGGCTTAATGCGGACGTATCCTTGCTTCGAGGAGTCCTGGCCATACTCTTCATCCCTGGCGCGGAAACGGCACCAGGCGAAACGAATGAAGGCCGCTTTCAGGCTAGGAGCCAAACGAGAGGGCGGTGCCTCTCGTCCACTGAAAGCCGTCCTCGGATCGATGGAGGAAACCAAGTCTGTATTCCAGCTCGCCTTCCGCCTGAAAGGGGAGCCCGTCAGGCTACTACGCGACCTCGACGCGGACGAACGGCAGAAGCTGAAGCCGAAATCCATGAGCGTCGAGCAAGTGGTGAACAAGCTCTCTTCATCCGGGATTTTTCGGGTCCAGAGGAGGCGCCAATATTTCCGGTGGAGCCCTATTGCAATACCGAACAGAGTCTCCTCCGGCGTAAACTGGAGGGACGTGTAGTCGGTTACTACCGACAGGCGCAGCCGCGCGTGCATAGTGTCTGCCAATATACGTACTGTTTTGAACAAACGGGACGAGTTGGATGCGTTTGTCACAGAGTATTTCCCGGTGGTCATCGCCCTCACCGTAACCTGGCTCACCCCCGACATTCTTGACTCTGAGGTCTCGCTCCCGGGGAATGCGCCATTCCGTTCGGACCGTGCACAACCAAGGATGGGTGGGGGCGTCATGTTGTTTATCCACGAAAGTGTACCGGTTACTCACCTCTACAGCCGCGTGGATCCTGACGGTCAGGGAGAAGCGCTTTGGTGCAAAACCAAACTGTACTGCAACGGCTGCACGACGATAGGAGTCTGCTACAGACCAGCGACGGCAGCCCTGGTGGCCATCCTGGACGATATGCGGAGATGGGCTGGTGACGGCCACTGTTTGATTTTGGGTGATTTCAATGTACCCTAATCGATTGGGACGAAAATCGCTGCCTAAATCTGGTATTATCCTCTCGAACATCGGCCGTTGACGTCATTGACCACCTCCCGCCACTCGGTTTGAGCGATCATTTAACCCTATTGGTGCAGTGGCGACGTGGATCTCCGTATCGCTCTCGACCACATTCCGGACTCAATGTCTGGAAAATGGACAACGATGGTATGAGGATCGCAGCGCGGTTCCTCCCCTGGGTGACCACCTACCCTGATGGAGTAGATCTTGCTTGGACTACCTTCCGGGACGGCATCCTTAAATTAGTGGCAGCCTTCTCTCCTCCCAAACGCTTCCGGTCACACGCTATGGGCCCCCCTGGTTCGCCCGCGAGTTACGTTAGATGCTTAAGCGTCGAAACATGGCATGGAAAACGTTTCGCGCTCAGGGATCTAACTATGGCCAATGCAAGATGCTGCGTAATGTGTGCACTGAAATGAAATCCAGAAAACGGCGAGTGTACGAGGAAGCTCTGGCATCTGGAGCGGCCTTTGTGCCGAAGGGGTTCTATGCATATCTCCGTCGCCGCACGCGTGCAACGGCCGACGCACCTCGCTGGAGTTTAAAGGTGCTCTGGAAGAAACCGATGTTGACAAGGCGGAAGCTTTTGCGCAACACTATGCATTTGCCTACGCCACCGATACATCACCGACCCCCCTACTGTCGTGCTCTGCGCCTCTGCTGTCTTGGCAACCCATCTCGGTAGACGAGGTGTGTGATGCGCTTTCGCCTCTGAAACCGTACCAGTCAACGGGTCCGGATGGACTGCATCCCATCGTGCTGGAGCAGCTGGCGACGGTTATTGCTCCTATCTTAACAGTCTTGTTCGAACAATCATTGACCGAGGGGAGGTTGCCCGCCGAGTGGAAAACCGCCCTCTCTTCAAAGGAGGAGCCCGTGGGGACCCCGCCAACTACCACCCGCTCAGTCTCACCTGTGTGGCCGTCAAGGTGATGGGACGTGTACTCGCCAAGCGACTCCGCAAATACCTCCTACCGAATGATCTTCTTTGTCCAGAGCAGCATGGGTTCC